TGTGTCCCCCCCCCCCCCCCCTTTCGGCTTTCAGAGATCGTCGACGGCAACGCGAAGATGACGCTGGGCATGATCTGGACCATTATCCTCAGATTCGCCATTCAGGACATCTCGGTGGAAGGTAAGGGGAAAGGGACACGCGCGCCGGCGTCGCGTGCCGCGTCCTCTCTCCGGTCGTTCCGTGAGCCGCCGTTGTCCCTTTGCAGAAACCTCGGCGAAGGAGGGCTTGCTGCTGTGGTGCCAGAGGAAGACTGCTCCCTACAAGAACGTCAACGTGCAGAACTTCCACATCAGGTAACCTTCCTCGGCTCCGAGCTCCGCTCCTTCGCGCTCCGCTCCCCCAAAGTACTCACCGGCGAAGCTTTCAGCGCGGCTGGGGAGGGTAAAAGGCACCTCGTGCCTTGCTGCGGTTACACCTTGAAATATCCGCCCCTTCTCCGGGACGCGTTTCCAGGAGAGGTTTTCCAGGAAATTAGCAAGTCGGGGAGGGCTTCGGGGACCCTCCTCCGCCCGGCGCTCTGCAGCGGTTTGTGAATTTAAGCCCCACTCTCCCCTTTTCTCTTGCAGCTGGAAAGACGGTCTTGCTTTCAACGCCTTGATCCACAGACACAGACCGGAGCTCATCGAATACGACAAACTCCGAAAGGTAAAACTCGATGGTAGCGCAGTCTCTTCCCCAAAAAGCGAGCTCTGAGTCGGCAGAGAAGCACGGCTGTCCGTCCGTCCGTCGGCTTAACCGCCTCAGCGAGGCGTCCGCCCTCCTCTCAGCCATCTCCTCTCCCTAGGACGACCCCGTGACGAATCTGAACAACGCCTTCGAAGTGGCGGAGAAGTACCTGGACATCCCCAAGATGCTGGACGCAGAGGGTAAGCTCTCCTAACGCGCCGCCGAAGGGCGACGACGTCGTCCGCGTGCCGCGAACGGTCCTGGTCCTTGATGGTAGATCTGCTCTTCCGGGCGCCGAGGAAGCGTGCTGGCGAGTCCGCCCTCGCTCAGAGCTGGGGAAAGGGGGCGGTTTAATGTCAGGGAACCGTCTTTAACGTGCTCTTCTGCCCGTACAGGTGTATTTACCTGACTTTGAAGAGCTCCTTGTTGGTGGGATTCCAGCCTAAAGAGGAGCTGGCTCCTCGGCGCAGCGTGGAGAGCGAGCCCGGCTCGTGCCGGAGGCGGCAGACCTTCCCCTCTCAGTCTAACCCTTGTTGTTCGCTTGCAGACATTGTCAACACAGCTCGCCCTGACGAGAAAGCCATCATGACCTATGTGTCGAGCTTCTACCATGCCTTTTCTGGGGCTCAGAAGGTACCGGAGGCGGCTGCGTCCATCTTGCTGTAACATTTCCAACTGCAGCATCCTACACTCACGCGACTTCTCTTTCAGATGGCCGTTGTTGTCTCTCGTTGACTCGGGGAACCAAACCTCGGCTCGTTGACCTGGGTTTAAAAAGCCGCTCGGTTTCCCCAAATCTGTCTGTAACTCCGTGCCGGCACGGCTGGCAGAGCGCCGGCGCGGCACTAACCCGGGGCAGAAAGGAGCTGCCCGGCGAGGCCTGGGAGCTCAGCTCTAGCTCAAAACGAAGCCTCGGCACCTTGCGAGAGGCCGAGTTATTAAGCAGGGGAAGCGAAGCGGCAAAAATAACCCCGTCAGCCGGCTCTGGTTTGGATCGCAGCCCCCAGCAAGCGCTTGTTCCCCTCCGCTGCATGCCCGAGGGGGGCCGAGGATTGCCACGCCGCTTCTTCACCCTCTCTCCTCCCTTTCTCTCTGCGCAGATATTGTAGGCACTCTCAGGCCCGATGAGAAGGCCATCATGACATACGTTTCCTGCTTCTACCACGCTTTCTCGGGTGCTCAGAAGGTGAGCTTTGCCGGCTGGAGCTGCACGCTTGGGTCGAACCGCTACTAACATCCGACCTTCGGGCTTCCGAGGGTCGTTGCGCTGCTGCACGGCTTCTGGAAACGTTAAAAAAAAAAAAAACCCAAACCAAAAACCAAAAAAACGGGGCCAGCTTTAGCTCCGCTTCGCTCGGGAGAAGGGCAAAACGTAAACTCCCTGTCCAGGAGGAGAGCTGGGCTGGCTCCTGCGCCAGAGAAATCTTTCCGGGCGTAGCGTAGCTGGGCTCTTGTCGCCGTACGGGGCAGGAGGGAAACCGAGAAGAGCCCAAGCGCCTGTTTGCACCGCGACCCCGGGGTTTCTGATTCCGGGCGGATCAGCAATTAGCGTTTTGTGCTAATCGGAGGGATTCGGGAAACGAATGAGCCTCTCGGACAGGTTTCAGACCTCTGATGCCTAGGGGGTTTTTTTTGTTTGGTTTGTTTTGTTTGTTTTATTGATTTATTTTACTTTTCCCCTGTGGCAACTCGTTTTTCCTCTTCCCCATCCTTCTATAGACCCTCTCCACTATTTCTGTTGATGTCTGGCTTTCAGCTCCTCTTCTTGGACTCTTTTTTCTGTGCTGCCTACCAAGGTACTCGATCTCCCCCAGGCTTATCTTTTCCGCCTCCTCCTCACCCTCCCACCAGAAGACCGAAGCACGGTGCTTAGAGATGGGTTAAAAAAAAGAAGGAAAAAAAAAAAAGAGGAGCAGCCTGGATGCGATGGGCTTTCTCTGTGCAAATCGGCACCAGGGCCCAGCAGGGCAGCGTGTCTCGCTCGTGACGGCGGCACGCTCG